TTTTAGGCTACCAACAATCTTCAAAAAGTTAAATGCAGTATTGATAGCAATCTTCTATTTTTCTGAGACCTGTAGTTTTATTGACCTTTCTAAAGTCTTGTCATCCTCTTTAACTTCCAGTAACCCCTTGTGGTATTATAGGAAAATGATTAAAAAAAAACACCTCATCGCTACTATATTTCTCATGCAATAGATTCACAAATGTTTTTCTCTCTCCTTTTTCTGGTAAGGTAATTACTTGGATACTAAAGGCTTAGACATGGTTAGATTGTGGTGTATACGGAAAAAATAACTTCTTTTCCCCACTCCTTTCAAATTTAGGGGAGCTGATGAAAAAGACAGAAAGAAATTCGTGAGCCTATGTAAAATTTTCTTTGGACCAATGAAAACCTTAACTTCACAGAGATTGGCCGGTGAGCTGAGAAAAAGACAAAACAAACTTGTAAACCTATGTGAAATTTTCTTTGAATAAATGAAAACCTTGTCTTCACAGGAACTAGCTGTTGATTCTAGAAAAAGAAAAAAAGAAAATAGTGAGCCTATGTGAAATCCTTTTTGATATAAAATGAAAGGAAAAAAAAATTAAATCAACAAGAGTGTCTGAAGTCATGTAAAAGATTTCATTTCTGTTCACACATCCCACTTGAATTTTTGCCAGTGACAAATTACTCACCAATTATATTATCGGCTTAACTAAGCACTTGGCACTTCAAATAACTTTATTTCAACAATCCAAGAAAGCTAAGTACTTCAAACTATCCAGTATCTGTCTATATTTCTGAGATGAGGTATTATGTACATTATTTACATTATTCAGACTATTGTTCTCGTCTTTGTCGCCATATTTATTACAACATTTCGGCCTTTCAGTATCTGTCTATATTTCTGAGATGAGTTATTATGTACACTATTAACATTATTCCGTCTATTGTTCTCATCTTTGTTGCCATATTTATTACAACATTTCGGCCTTTCAGTATCTGTCTATATTTCTGAGATGAGGTATTATGTACACTATTTACATTATTTGAACTATTGTTCTCGTCTTTGTCGCCATATTTATTACAACATTTCGGCCTTTCAGGATCTGTCTATATTTCTGAGATGAGGTATTATGTACACTATTTACATTATTCGGACTATTGTTCTCGTCTTTGTAGCCATATTTATTACAACGTTTCAGCCCTTCAGTATCTGTCTATATTTCTGAGATGAAGTATTATGTACACTATTTACATTATTCGGACTATTGTCCTCATCTTTGTTACCATATTTATTACAACGGTTCGGCCTTTCAGTATCTGTCTATATTTCTGAGATGAGGTATTATATACACTATTTACATTATTCGGACTATTGTCCTCATCTTTATTGCCATATTTATTACAACGTTTCGGCCCTTCAGTATCTGTTTATATTTCTGAGATGAGGTATTATGTACACTATTTACATTATTTAGAATATTGTCCTTATCTTTGTTGCCATATTTATCACAATTTTACTTGTTCAAAGTCACTAGTATTTAAACAAATGTTAAGTCATTGCACATGCATTTAATTAAACAATTGCTTGAAGTCGAAACAAGTGCTGAAAAGAGCACAGCAGCTCTAATCATAAAGGGAATCAACTCAGTCTGGTGACTGACCAAATAAGTCCTGTACACAAACTTAAACAGTGTTCTGAACATCAACCTTTTGGGGCCATACCATGACTTTCGACCTTTCTGCCTCTGGACAGAGTCTCATCTGGGAAGGTAAACAAACCCGACCCCATGTATACGGGCAATTTTAGCCCAAGCCTATAGGCTTTGAATGCCTCACATTAAAAACTGGCCTTATGGGGAGGTTAAGTAAATGCCTTACAGCTGGGTTTAACAAATTAGAGAACCTAAAGTGTTAATACGAGCTCTAAATCCGGTATAATGAAATGCCTTACAGCTGGGCTTAAAAAATTAGGGAACCTAAATTGTTAATCCGAGCTCTAAATCCGGTATAATGAAATGCCTTACAGCTGGGCTTAACAAATTAGGGAACCTAAATTGTTAATCCGAGCTCTAAATCCGGTATAATGAAATGCCTTACAGCTGGGCTTAACAAATTAGAGAACCTAAATTGTTAATCCAAGCTCTAAATCCGGTATAATGAAATGCCTTACAGCTGGGCTTAACAAATTAGAGAACCTAAATTGTTAATCCGAGCTCTAAATCCGGTATAATGAAATGCCTTACAGCTGGGCTTAACAAATTAGAGAACCTAAATTGTTAATCCGAGCTCTAAATCCGGTATAATGAAATGCCTTACAGCTGGGCTTAACAAATTAGAGAACCTAAATTGTTAATCCGAGCTCTAAATCCGGTATAATGAAATGCCTTACAGCTGGGCTTAACAAATTAGAGAACCTAAATTGTTAATCCAAGCTCTAAATCCAGTATAATGAAATGAAGTTTAACATTCAGAATACTGTCTGACTTTGTGTACAGGACTTTTAGGTATATTATATTTCTAAGTTAAGGGCTATGGTTTACGTATATTTTTTCCTCAAATTTAGAAAGTTAGTTAGGGCATATATTTTACAGGAGTGAGCCATTCCAGTGTAGCCAATTTGGAGTGGCTGATTTGGCATAGTCAATTAAACATTTTTCAGCAGAGGGACAATTAAGTATCAGATTACCACTTCATCGTTATGGTCAAATTTGTTCTCTCTCTCTCTCTCTCTCTCTAGTAGTCAAATTAGTACTTCATCATTATATGCTCAAATAGTCCAATTTAAGAAAAAGTGTACTTGGGGGTACTTTTATATTATATTTCCTTCAGTTCAGCTTCATATTTTTCAGTCGTCAAAGCCATTTTATTCCAAAATGGAAGCAAATATATAATCTAAACAAGGAAAGAAACAAAATGATACACAATGGATAAATAGCTTTACTAAGTTTTTTAATATTTTTTGAAATACAATATTTTTAGTCATCTAAAAGAAAATAGTCACCCACTCTATTTTGAATCTCGAAAATACCGATTCACATTCAACTCATGGTAGTTGCAAAACTAAAGAAAATGGTAGAATGAGGTATATTGGAGAAAGTTACCCAAGGTGGTAGCAGTTAGGCTTCCCCAAATGTTGCAATAAAAATGCCCAATGGTGATTTGAGGATATGTGGGGATTACAAATTAGGTGTGACTAAACAGATATACTCGGATTTGTTCCCCTTACCTAAGATAGAAAGAGCAAGTCATGAAGCAGGAATAAAATACTTTGCCAAGATTGTCATGAAATCAGCATAAACCCAAATAGAAATTGACAAAAAATTTAAAGAAGTCATTATAATTAATACCCTGATAGGCTTACTAAGATGGACTTGTCTTCCATTTTGGACTTAAGACTTCAACTCTAGCTATAATTTTTTTAACTAACTAAATATAGTGGTGAAAATGAGCAGAGTTGACTTACCCACACCAAGAAGGTTAATGATGGATGATAAATGACAAGAAAACATTCAGGTAATTTTAATAAAATAAGATAAGGAATTTATGTAAAAATTTACGTGTTTGAAGTTGTGTCAGTATCTAGTTTCAGGTGTGAATCAACAGATATTCTCTGATTCATTTCCTTACCTAACGTAAAAATTGTAAGTCATGAAGCACGAATTAAATACTTTGCCAAGATTGTCATGAAATCAGCATAAACCCAAATAGAAATTGACAAAAAATTTAAAGAAGTCATTATAATTAATACCCTGATAGGCTTACTAAGATGGACTTGTCTTCCATTTGGACTTAAGACTTCAAGCCATATTTTTCAAAAAGCAATTGAAAAAGTTCTATCGGATAGGGTAAAAAATATAATCATATACCAAGATGATATAAACGTAGGTGCTTGCAATAAAGAGGAATTAAAAAAATGAACAGGTTTTAAACAAATTAAAAAATGTTGGTATGATGATAAATATATATATATGGGATACTAAATATCTAAGGAAAGAATTTCACCAGACAATAACATCAGGCTGAGATATCTATCACAGTCTGTTCATATCTATCTATCTATCTATCTATCTATCTATCTATCTATCTATCTATGTAGGTAGATAGATATGATAAACTGAGAGGGAGATAGATAGATATGAACAGAGTGAAATAGACAGATGTTAATAGGGTGAGATAGATAGATAGATAGATAGATAGATAGATAGATAGATATTAATAGGCTGAGATAGATAGATAGATATGAAAAAGCTTAAATAGATGTTAATAAGGTGATATAGATAGATATATAGATAGATATGAATAAACTGAGATAGATAGATATTAATAGGCTGAGATAGATAGATATGAAAAAGCTTAAATAGATGTTAATAGGGTGATATAGATATGAATAAACTGAGATAGATAGATAGATAGATAGATAGATAGATAGATAGATAGATATTAATAGGCTGAAATAGATAGATAGATAGATAGATAGATAGATAGATAGATATTAATAGGCTTAGATAGATAGATAGATAGATAGATAGATAGATAGATATTAATAGGCTTAGATAGATAGATAGATAGATAGATAGATATGAACAAGTTGAGATATTTTTTCTTTTAAATAATTCCATCCCAAGCAAGGCAGTGAAGCCACTAAGATGCAAGGGGGTTATTGAGTGTGAGAGAATATGAGAAAAAAAACATTATTAAGGAGTGAGATCAATAAAAGAATTAAGAAGACAGAAGATAACAAGATCAAAGTTGACTTCAAAACAAGAAATCAAAAGAGAGACAAGAAATGTGAGAAAATAAAACCGTTAGCATAGGACTTGCGATTACATCTAGCAGCCATTTCAACTGTAAAATGATGAGACCTTGGCACCAATTTAGTACTGTACTTAAATTCATAAAGTCTCAATACCATAGAGGAAAGTTCATCAGAACAATTACTAAGAAAGTATTTATAAAAAAAAACGGGGGAATGCTACGTTGCAGTAATGAGAAAGTGACTGAAGCTGTGATGCCAGGTCAATAGATAGATAGATAGATAGATAGATAGATACATACATACATATATGAACACACTGGGATAGATATGAACAGAATGAAACAGATAGGTTTTATATTGACTGACACACACACACACACATATATATATATATATATATATATATATATATATATATATATATATATATATATATATATATATATCGAGATAGATAGATAGATAGATTTTGAATAAACTTGGGTAGATAGATAGATAGATAGATAGATAGATATTGAACATACTGAGATAAAAATAGATATGAACAGAATTAGATAGATAGATAGATACTTACATATTTAACATACTGAGATAAAAATAGATATGAACAGAGATAGATAGATAGATAGATACTTACATATTGAACACACTGAGATAAAAATAGATATGAACAGAATTAGATAGATAGATAGATAGATAGATAGATAGATATTTCTTTTGTGAAATAATTCGATAGAAACAATATAAAGTCATTTTTACTGTTTTGTTCAAATAAGTTACAAAATGGAAGATTTTTAAAATAGTTAGCGAAGTATTTAATTACAATTTATTGCTTATTCGCTTAATGGCAGATGTGCCCAAGGGAGACAACTATTTACATAATATTTCAGCAGTTATCTCACCTTACACTGTCATTTTTTTTTGCGTATTCTCGACAAAATATTCAAATAAAACAAGAGTAAAAATATGAAATTAAATTTTTGTTTTTCTCCTTTTTCAATTTACTATTATTTATTCCTTCAATAAGCAATTAGAAGAATAATACTTCTTCTAATTTTTCAAGTTGAAATTTAGAATATGTGTGCGTGTGTTTCTGCTGGTTATGTAACTGTGATAGGGGTGGAAAGTGTAATTGTCGAGTTGCGTTCAAATTTACGACTACTTTGCTGTGTTCCATTTCACCCCGTTATCTTTGTGAAAGGCTAGAAATCCATCCTTCTTTTCCTCCATCCACAAATGGGCACTCCAGCCTTGGCTGGCAGCAAGGCTAAGTTAAGGAAAACTCTGTTTAAACCATTTGGAAGGTAAAGAATCATGTGAATTTGCTGATAATAAAGAAAAAGGAAGCTGTGGAGTGTCATGATCGCTTACATTCTGAATGAACAAATACTATTCTGAATTCCAAACCGTGGAAAATGCAACAGGAAATCACTCTAGTATCTTTACAAAGAAGTCAAAGCAATTCAAAGATAATCTACAAAAGGAAGATATGGAGAGCCATAATCACCTACTTTCTAAAATGTGTACACGTGTGTGCCAAAAGTTGACTTCAACCATAATTTGGAAGATTTAATAACAAAACTGACCCACAAAATTTGTCCATATTATTTAATAAAACAAACTTCAGGTCATCAGACACCCAACAATATCTTCATTTCAAGAGCCGTCATCCCAAAAACTGTCTAAAATCCATCCCCTATTCACTAGCATGTAGTGTTTGCACTATGGTGACCGACAAACACCTCCCAAAATCAACCTAGAAGAATTACATAAAACTCTCAAAAATGAGGCTACACTAATAAACAAAGGTTTTGAACCAGCAAAAAAAAAATACCTTTAGACCAACTACAAAATTCAAAGAAACACAATGTTGAAAAAACTCAATATGTCTCAAAAAGAACAATCCAGAATTATTTACAGAAATTACAAGAAATCTAAGCCTAATTAATAAGAATTATAAAATAAAAAATATACTAAAAACAACCAAAAAAAAGAAAAAATTTAAAAGACATATTAACCTCATTCAAACTTAGCCAACACACAACACAGGGGGGTCACAAAATGCGACAAGAAAAGTTGTGGGGTTTGTGATATTGTTATAGAAGGAAACTCTTACACTTTCGAAAATCCCACAACAACATTCACAATAAAGAAAAACTTAAACTGCAACTCCAAAAATGTGATTATGCACTCAAGTGCAACAAGTCCTATATAGGTATCAGCCAAGCACTAAACAACAGAGTTTCCCTTTACAAAAGCAACATCAAATTACCAGACAACAGAAAATTCTTTGTATCACAACACATTTACAAATATAATCAAGGTAAATTTAAAATTATGCCAATATATCAAACGGATAATTATTCTTACCTACAAATACAAGGAAAAAATACTTCAGACAAATTTAAACCAGCACTAAACAGATCATAACCCACACACATAAATACACAACATACACACATAATGGCTGAACACACTAGTCAGACCAAGTACAGATACACACACACAGACACACAGACAAATATCTATGGAGAACGAATATATATACATATACATACTCGTAAAAACAAATATACTAGATGGGCCACATGCACACACACATGAACTCTACACACCATAAGAAGTGTGTGTGTATATGTATATATATATACATACATATATATATATATATATATATATACTAATTCCTTAAAATAAAACAATATATATATGTATGGAGAAGGAATCTGTATACACATACTAGTAAAAACACACGCAATATAGAAAAATGAAGATAGGCTTAAAAAGATACAGAGGTCATAAAAAGATGAGAACAAAAAACTCCTTCCTTCACCCTTTCTCTGACCAATTGTTTTATTACCCTTAAGAAGAAGAATATTTTCTCCACAAGTCCGAGAAAATTTGGATTACTACACAAAAGACAATGGTTAAACATCGAAACACTTAAGGAAAAATTAATTCCTTTAAATAATATGTGGAAATAACTACTCTTTGCCTGATGAAGGTTTCAATACCTGAAACCCGTGTAGCAAAAATATGGAAAATAAAGTATAATATATTTTTTAAAAATTTACATTATAACCAAAAACATTTGCAGCTTCACTCTACTCATTAAAATAACCTCTCCCTTACACACACACACATATATATATACTGGGTGTAACTGCAAAATTGTCCAAATTGCATAAAAGCAAAATTGTCCTATTGTTAGATTAAGCTCTGAAATGTTGTATCTTAGAAATGATTAAAGATATCGTACAGGAATTCTCCAAGGTTTTAGTAACACTATTGGACTATACTTTAAGCAATAAGAATGTATAATTGCTCTCTAAGCTTAACAGAAGAATTGTGATAAAATTGAACATAAACAAAAATCTCCTTCATTAATTAATCATCAGAAGCTCATGAAGTATTGAAATAAAATTCTCTGTATACGTCCCTTCAAAAAGTGTGGATGGTCCTGCACGAGGCCTTCACCACTATAATCAAATCTCATGTGCCTGTGTTGGGCTGTCAGTTTCCTGGAAACTGATCTGCTTGACCCTCATACGTCGAATCTCGACGGGAGAGTCGATTATTATATATATATATATATATATATATTATTCAGGATCATTTTCTAACTTTCTATCCTGGAGTAACAATGTGCCTCACACATTTCCCATACAATTTCATTTTCAAGCTCTTTTACACTGCTCTTTTGACTGTCATAGCTGAAACTCTTCTCTCATATGCGAAATGTCTTATGGATTGAGTTGGATCTTTTCTAATTGATCTCTTTAGTTCTAAGTTGAAATGATGATCCTTCTTCCTGTTGTGATCTCCTGGTCCTGGGAACAGTAGAGAGGAAAACCTCTCTACTGTTCCCTCTTTTTTTAAACTTATTCACTGTTCTCGTGATGCCTCTTGAAAGGACTTAGAAGATGGAAGCCAGGGTATGAATGTTGGTACCATTACTGAAAGCCTGAATGATCTTTTTCCTTTCACCATTGCTCAATTGGGAAGACAGTGGGTCTGATAAAAAACAATTTCTAGCTGCTCTCTTTTTAGCCAAATAATCCAAAGGGTATTTCAGTGATTTTCATGGCAAATGGTGTCAAAGTGGCTGAATGTCTTATCTGAAAACCTGGAAAAAAGAAATTTAATTAGTGTCGTGTTTCTTTAGATTTTAATCATTTTGTGGGATGGGCATTTATGCTGTTACATGATTTGGACAATTTTGCTGTTACATCCGGTATGTGTGTGTGTGTGTTTGTGTGTGTGAATGTTTTCTATGTATATTTCTTCTTCGGGTAAATATTAGGGGCTCTTAGTGCTCTTAAATAGAATCCTATAATTATTCCAGATTTTATCCTGTTACAGTGGTAGGAATAAAAATTGACAAGGTCATTCTTGTTGGTAAATTTTCAGTAAACCTCCATCTGAAGGTCATTATAAATTATATGCTGCATGATATCCAGGAAGAGTAAAGTGTTGTTAGACTCAAATTGAACGGTAAAATCTATTTTGAGTTCAATGTTATTGTGTTTGTTGACAAGTTCAGGTAAAACTCTGTTTTCTGTAAATATTAATAGAAAATCATGTATGTATCTGAAATAAGAAGAATTTTGTGATAAAATATTTTTGAAAGGACAACTTTCTAGGAATTCCAAAAGTAGACAAGCCAGAATGCCACTAAGAGGAGACCCCATTGGTAAACCAAATTTTTGTCTATAAAAATTGTTATCAAAGGTGAAATAACATTTATTAGGGATGAAATGGCACTTTTTTGTGATGTAGGAATAGGTAATTTTATTCTTGTTTTTGTTAAGTGTCTTTTTAGTAAATTTGGGCATTTCTTTACAGGAATATTTCTCTATAAAAATTTTAGTCTAAACTTTTTTTATATCAATTTTTATTCCCACCACTGTAACAGGATAAAATCTGGAATAATTATATTTTATTTAAGATTAATGAGAATTTGCAGCCCCCAATACTTACCTGAAGAAATCTACATAGAAAGCACTTTCATATATATATATATATATATATATATATATATATATACTGAGTGAGGCAAAAGTCGTGCACTATAGAGGCATAGAGGCCCTGTTGAGTGGCCACTAAGGCCACCAATCCTCATACCCTTGGATTTTTTTCTGTGGAGCCATTTGAAATCAGTTTGTTTATCAGATGCACCCAAGAAATACTGAGGAAGTTAAAGAAAGAATTGAATATGTGTTATGGTCTGGTTCCTTGTACCATGGTGATAGTCCAAGGTAGAACCAATAAAGAAGAACTCGAACACAGGTATGGAATAACACAGATATATTACAAACAGGAATATATACAGAGAAGTAGAAGTGTTAGTATGAACAATCAGGTTTAGTAGTAATTGTCTGAACGTGACTCTGTTTTGGACTGCCTCTGACTCGCTTGCTCTGACTGACTGACTGACTTCTTACTACATTGTCAAGTTTTTTGAATTCTCGTATACTTGTATTTTGATTGATCATTTCAGCTCATGTAACAGCGTTTCCCCTTACGAGGGGTGGTTAATTAATTTGAACCTTTTGAAACCTTTATTCTACAATCTACATTCAACATCATCACTTGATAAGACACCAGAGGTGTTGAAACAAAATAGCTATTTTTGTAGTGATTTTATAACATATTTATGTTATAACTTTTAAATAAGTAATTATATATAAATATATATATATATATATATATAT